TTTATTGTCCTGCTCAAGGTCATCACCAAGGTCTGATTTTTTTCCACACACAAAAAACTCGCAACCTCCGGCATAAATGGGTTAAGTCCTAACCAGCAAAGGCATTCCTTAGCAAAGCTAATATTGGTCCAGCCGAATTACTTAACTGTGATTTAATTCAGTGTAGGAATAGCGTTTAGAAACCTAGAATGATGGAAGATTCACTTGGCACTCTCAAGTTTCAGCTGTCTTATCTGGGCTTGAGCAAGAGTTGGATATCAGTTCGTTGAAAATGAGCTTTTTCTGGCAAGGCCTCTGCAAACGTTTTGTCGTTTCAATTAAGTGAGAGTTCTTTGCTCCTGGTAACAAATGTGTTGATGGCAGAGCTGACGTTTGCTTATGAAAATGAAGGAACTGGACCTGTTGATATTGCAGAAGAGGGGACAGCTTGCTTCTTCAGGAGCATTCCCTTCAATTATTTGAAATTATTAATGCATCCCCTCCTCCTTCCTCAGGATGGTGGTGAATCACGATTTATGTTCCAGAACTCGTTCACTTTGTGGAGCTATTTAAGTTAAGGACCCTAATTGAAAAGATTATAATTTCTTAAGATTGGAGGGTTTACAAAGACTTGACATTGAGAGATTTCCCTCAAAACCAACCACCAGTCATTTAGAACAGAAAAGGACAATATGAGGTTTTTCCCTGAATTACCTAAAAAGGAACAGATAATAATTGGGTGGAGTTACCATAAAACTGTAGGGTTGAGGTTAGACTGTTTTTAAAATTAATTGGTTTCTCTTCTTGAGCAAATTACACCATTTCAAGTCATAGTTGAGGCATTAATTGCGTACGTGCTGGTTGTACTGCTAGGGCCTCCTTCACTGTATTCTTCCTGGTGGGGCACATGGGAAGCAGGGCCAAACTAAAATGAAGTTTCATCCTCAGTCTAATAGGAAAGTTTCTGGTGTTCTAAAGCAAAAACACTTGTGAAATTTCAAGTCTTAGACTTCTATCCTGTAACATTGTCTGAAGTTGATAGTAAAACAAGATTTCAGTATATAGCTTGAGGCTCAGGTTTTTAGCCAGAAACATAAGAAGCATTTTCCACATTACCTTTGTTCCGTGTATTCCTGAGACTGACTAGTCCATGTTGAACCCACACTTTCATGTCTTCCTTACTTTTTCTTTCACTGCCTTATTTGATTTGCAAACTCTTGCCTTACCTAATAATAAGTCATACTTACATTGTGCCAAGCAGGCTTCTAAGCACTTTACAGAGAACTCATTTAACCCTCACAGCAACCACCGTTTACAGATAAGGAAACTGAGGCACAGAGTAACTCACCCAAAGTGGAGCTGGGATTCTCACCCCCATGGCCTGATTCCAGAGCCAGCTCTTGACCGTGATGCTGTAGATTGCCTCCTTAGTAGGTGGTTCTTTGAAGGCAGGAATTGTCTCACCCACCCCATCTTCCAAATAACATTATAGTGTTTTAGTATTTTCATGGCTTCCTAAGTTGAAAATTTCTCAAAGATACAAGATAGAAATTACTTCTGACCTTTTGTAAACACATGTGGCACTATTAAGTCGCTTATAGTACACTAGTGGGCAGTATTCAGTCCACACATTTATTGACCTCTATTGTGTGCCAAACACTGAAATTATTTACCTTTTCAAAGAATTGTGACTGCCAAATGAAAAACATTTCTCTATAAAGAGAGCATCATCAGGGGCTCCTCAACTTGAATGGGGGGTCATTACACTACAATTTTGTCCTAACTTCTCAAGGCTGGAGGCGTTCTGAGAAGTTGTCTCCCCTCCATATGTCACCACATCAGAAGACTGTGTATAGCTTGTCACACATTCACACGTTGTCGCATTTGCAAAAGGACTTGTCCCTTTGTAGGTGGAATTGGTTTTTCTTTAAATTAATTGCCACATCTCTGTTTATTCTACATCCTTTTTCTTCAGGAGCATATCCTTTGTGAAAATGAAGTGCAGTACCTAGTACAGTATCTGTTAATACTGCGAAATGAATGAGCTGAATTTGGTTTTTGTTGTTATTGTTGTTCTTCGTTGTTATTGTTGTTCTTTGTTAATGAGTTATTTAAGTGGCATAAGAATACAGGTCCATTTTAAATCCATAGGCACTAAGCGAAAACATTAACCATGCCATCTTATATCCATTCTGTGATTTTGACATCTCAGAAATTAGGATGGATTTTGTAGTTACTGGCATCATGGGATTATGATTGGCAGTATTTTTTTAATTTGTTGTTGATAGATGAAACAATGGTGCATCTTCCAGTTAACATCCTAAATTTGATGAAAAATGGTATATATTTAATCCTTGCACTTTTTGAGAGGCGTATTGGCAGAAAGTTGAATTCCATTAAATTTTGCCTCTACTTGAAAGATACATTTGAAGTTGTTTTGTATTCCTCATATTTGGGTTTGGAAGAGAAATAAAAGCCAGTCATTTGTTTTCCAAGTACTTCGTTGTGAGTTCTTTTTAAAATTACAAAAGCAAAATGTTTAGAATCTCAGTTTCACAAGATGAAAAAAGTTTTGGAAATGGATGGTGGTGATGGTTTCACAACACTGAATGCTGCCGAACTTTACGTTTAGAAATGGTTAAGATGGTAAATTTTATGTATATTTTATCACAGTTTTTTTCAAAAAGTAATATGATACTTAACGCCATTGTCCTTCGATATAGAGATGCATAGAATAAAAAGTGAAAGTCACCTTTGTCCACACACACATTCCAGCTCCTCCCAATTTTCCTCCTTGGTATCTCTTCCCCAGAGGTTTGGTGTGTATCTTTTCAGATATTTCTCTCCTAAGACTTTTCCTTAAAGATGTGTGGGGGTTTCATTGATCCTTCAAGTAATTTTTCACTATAATAAATACAGTTGTAACAGGTAAAATAAAAAAATATTTGAGAGAACGTCATTTGATAACTCTGCTTTTTTGATCTTAGGATTAAATTTACTATTTTATTTATTCTCCATGATACTTTTTCTTGGAAGTAGTCTGTATAAATTAATTATTGTAGCCAAACAACTTTAGATCTTAATACAGAGCGTGAAGAAAATGTGAGGGAAAGTGCGACATGATAGCCTTAAATTAGCTGCTCAGCAGAAGCAGCCTTTATGTGGTTTCCTTGCAGTTGACCACTCATCCTCCCTCTGTTGATGGGCAACTGTTGTCTCTTAAACCCGGGTCTGGGCTGCTGCAGTAGTTTACTCAGTGGTCTTCCTGGGTCCACTCTGGCTTCCTTCGGTCCTCTTCTCCATTCCTAGGGAGTTCAAAATGTGTGGGCCTTAATCTTGTCTTCTGCCACATTCCCTCTAGAAGCTTCCTGTGGCTCTTGCAACATAGAGCCCTGCATCTTTAGTGTACTCTGCCAGGCCCTACACATTTGCCTCTGTACTTTTTTTTGTAGATGGAGTCCTTCTCCTTGCTCAGGCTGGAGTGCAGTGGTCGCGTCCTCGCTACACTGCGCAACCTCCGCCTCCCAGGTTCAAGCAATTCTCCTGCCTTAGCCTCCCGAGTAGCTGGGATTACAGGCACTCACCACCATGCCCGGCTAAACTTTGTATTTTTTTTAGTAGAGACAGAGTTTCACCATGTTGACCAGGCTGGTCTTGAACTCCTGACCTTGTGATCTTCCTGCCTCAGCCTTCCAAAGTGCTGGGATTACAGGCGTGAGCCACTGTGCCTGGCTACATTTGCCTCTGTATTAGTCCATTCTCACACTGCTGATAAAGACATACCCAAAATAGGTAATTTATAAAGAAACAGAGGTTTTGTTGTTGTTGTTGTTTTAAATTTATTTTTTTGAGACGGAGTCTCGCTCTGTCGCTCTCAGCTCGCTGCATGCTCTGCCTTCCTGGTTCACACCATTCTCCTGCGTCAGCCTCCCGAGTAGCTGGGACTATAGGCGCCCACCACCACGGCCTGGCTAATTTTTTTGTATTTTTAGTAGAGACAGGGTTTCACCACGTTAGCCAGGATGGTCTTGATCTCCTGACCTCATTCATGATCTGCCCGCCTCAGCCTCCCAAAGTGCTGGGATTACAGGCATGAGCCACTGCGCCTGGCCAAGAAACAGAGGTTTAATGGATTCACAGTTCCGCGTAGCTGAGGAGGCCTCACAATCATGGCGGAAAGTGAAAGACACGTCTTACTTGGTGGCAGACAAGAGAGAATGAGAGCCAAGCTAAAAGGGAAACCCCTTGTAAAACCATGAGATCTCTTGAGACTCAGTCATGACCATGAGAACAGTGTGGGGGAAATTGCCCCCATGATTCACTTATCTCCCTCCAGGTCCCTCCCGCAACATATGGGAATTGTGGGAGCTATAATTCAAGATGAGATTTGGGTGGGGACACAGCCAAACTGTATCAGCCTTCTTCCTCGCCTCATGACAGCGCTTTCGTGCCCTGCATTCCTTGATGTTAACCCTGTTTCAGGGGAAGGCTCTCTGTTCTGTTGGTCTAGCTCATGTCCTGTGCTCTGCTCTTTATAAGTACTTCTCTTAGCTTATGTCCTCTCTATGAGTTGGGGACCACGTTTTTGTTCACCACCACATCCCTTTAGCTTAGCACATACTTGGCACTTGGTTCAAAGAAAATTTTTTGAGTGAACCATTTGATTTTGTTTTTTGTTTTATAGAGCTGAGAAGTTTGTAGTTAGGGAGTTGATAGTATCACAAAATTAATCTGTATACCCAGATCTTGGTCCCCTGGCAGTTTGGTTTTCAACCATAACTAAAACTTAGTTATCGTAGAACAGTTTTACCACTTCTTCATTTTTTATTGGGGTTCTTTTGAAAATTAATTTAGACTTTGCAGTACCCGGTAACCTGGCCTTTCATTAAGAGGAATCAAGCAGGCCAAGTAGCTTTTTATCATTCCATTGAACATGGCGATGCAAAATGAGCAGATACGTGAATTCCTGAAAATCAGCTTGGAATAAACTGTTCTCTAACTGATACTTATTTTAATTCCAGAACATGGTCCAAGACAATTCCTGGGAAAGTTCAGTTCTTCTCAAGTGAGGGTTCTGACACATCTATACCAATTCCAATAGTGCCACTACGGGGTGTGGATGACTCCTACCCGCCCCAGAAGAAGTCCTTCATGATGCTCAAGTACATGCACGACCACTACTTGGACAAGTATGAATGGTTTATGAGAGCAGATGATGACGTGTACATCAAAGGAGACCGTCTGGAGAATTTCCTGAGGAGTTTGAATAGCAGCGAGCCCCTCTTTCTTGGGCAGACAGGCCTGGGCACCACGGAAGAAATGGGAAAACTGGCCCTCGAGCCTGGTGAGAACTTCTGCATGGGGGGGCCTGGCGTGATCATGAGCCGGGAGGTACTTCGGAGAATGGTGCCGCACATTGGCAAGTGTCTCCGGGAGATGTACACCACCCATGAGGACGTGGAGGTGGGAAGATGTGTCCGGAGGTTTGCAGGGGTGCAGTGTGTATGGTCTTATGAGGTAAGAACAGAATTCTTTACCACGGGAAAAACTTAATTTTGTCAATTTTGTCATTAGTTCTGAGTGTATCATAGGAAATAAGAGATGATATCCTCTTTGAGGGTTAAAGTTGGCATTATTCTACATTTTTAGCCTTAGATTAAAAGTTTCAGTTCCCCTTTATTACCTTTTCTCAGCTTTGAGCGCATATCTTCTATACGTTGTCTCCCCCACCCACCCCTCCCCCCCACACACAGTCTTGCTCTGTCTTCCAGACTGGAGTGCAGTGGTGTGATCTCGGCTTACTGCAACCTCCGCCTTCTGGGTTCAAGCAATTCCCCTGCCTCAGCCTCCCGAGTAGCTAGGATTATAGGCATGCACCACCACGCTAGGCTAATTTTTGTATTCTTAGTAGAGACGAGGTTTTACCATGCTGGGCAGGCTGGTCTTGAACTCTTGACCTCGTGATCTACCCGCCTCAGCCTCCCAAAGTGCTGGGATTACAGGCATGAGCCACTGCGCCTGGCTCTTCCATACTTTTGTCCTAATACTTAATAAATAATGGCATTTGGGGCCTAGAGAATAGATAATGGTTTGTTGATGGTCACAGTGATATTTTCTTGATTATCCAGAAAATCATCTTGTCTGACTTCTGATTCCGCAGATGTAATTGCAAGAATGTAGGATATCTCCCTATTTGTTTTTGCAAAGGCCTGGCTCTTGTCATCTGGTCATAATGACCTACACAGATTAGAAACTTATGTGTTTTGAATTTATAAAAGGAATCATGATGTAAAAAAGCCAATAGCATTTGGTTTTGCATTTGTTGTGTACCTTGACTTTCAGATAGTGACTGTAATCTGTGAGTTTACAATATAGTCATTGCTTTAGAATAGGTGTCATTCAGCTTCTGAGTTACTGTGACACATAAATGAAATTGCCGAAGGAAGTCCAATTGTAGATGTTTTCTCTGTAGCAGTTCTAGAGAAGATGAGTTGGCTTTGGACTTTCCTCTATTGTTATTGGCAGTGTGCTCCCTTTGCCTGCAGTTTGCAGAATCTGATATCAGTTAGGGTGAAAGAAATTATTTAGGTTGTGTTGTCTTTAGATTAATAAACTATTGGCAGTTGTGAGGAGCAGAGGGAATTGCTAGATCCTTTGCCTAAGAAAAAGAATACACTTTCTGATATGAACTGTTAGCTTTTTTCTGAACTAATTTTCTAAAGCCCGTACTTGAGTGAAAGAGTAGTATTCTTGCCTGTACTTGTCTACCCCCAGACTTGCTTTTAAATGTCTGCTAATCACTCATTTTTTTGTTTGTTTGTTTGAACTTTAGGGAAGTGGACATTTTCAAGCATACACGGGGTGGTCATGTAATTTTTAATTATAAAGTCACAAATACATTTTAAGTCCTAAATGTGATCTTGGGTGAACGCTTTAATCCCTGTGTGCCTTACGCTATCCCCCCAACCCCAGCACATAGGGGATGGCTCACTGGGCCTGCAGGATCTCTCTCTTGTCACGGATTTTTGCAGTGAGGAAAGCTGTTTGAGGATTGCACGCTGTTTTAAGCAGAATACAGCTGGCAGTATTTCTGCATTTTCCCCATCCTACTTAAGTAGTTATAGCCTTAACACATTTCATTATGGTTAAAACATGGAACACGTTGTGTATTTTGGAACACTTTCCCCTGACCATCATCTCCAAGAAGCCAACCTTCTTGCTGTAATCATAGAAAACAGACCTTCTTTTGGGAGAGAAAAAGTGTGTCTTAGTGTGGTCATGTTGTTATATACTGCTGGACAGACACCAAATGGAGCCAGGCTCTTGAGTTTGATCAAGAACTTGGGTTTAGCATTAGTGCCAAGATATAGTTAGAAAGTGTCATCCTGGGGCTGCAGGGGTGGGAGGCCATTTTGGAGATGGTTTTCCTCTGATATGAGGTAATTACAAAAGGTTTCTGATGGCCTACGAAGGGGTGCATGGGGTGCATGGAATTATCCTGTCTGGACACTTGAAGCTTCCTCTTAGGCTTGATGCATCCTGTCAGTGGTCGTATCAGCTAAAGGGACCTGGTTGGTGAGAAGGCCCCCAACCTGGGTAGTTCCCTGTCTCCCTGCCCTGGGAGGTGGGTCCGGGACAGCAGCAGCAAGGCTCTCCCTGGGAGTGTGGTGAGTTGGGCCTGCTGCAGCTCTGCATTTCTTTAAATGCCCTGTGGTGATAGAGCTTTGACTCAATGCTGCAGGCTTCTCCTCAGGGGCTTGTGCCACAGGGCCCTCCCACCTGCAGTGCCCAGAGTTCTCTTTTTCTCTTCTGTGAGCTGCCTTGCCTGTTCATAGTCTTGGCCCATATTTCTGCTGAAATGTCTGTCTTAGGGTTTTGTTGAAGTGCTTTATTCTGGTGGAGTATCTTTTCTCAGACTATGACTTATCTTTTCACTTTAATTGTGGGATTTTTATTGTACATGAATTGTGAATCTTTAAGTGCAGTCTAATGCATCATTCTTTTCTTTTACGGTTTATGCTTTTGTGCCTTAAGAAATTCTTCCCTTCCTTAGGTCACGAATATTTTTTCTCCTGTATGTTTTCTTGTGTTTAAAGTGTTACCTTTCACGTGTAGTTCTTCATTATAATTTTAAGAATTCATCTATTGGAATACTTGCCATCTTATTAGACCTTTGATTTCTATGTTTTTTTCTTTTTCTTTTTATAAAACTTTAAGTGCTTCTAACCTAAGTTGTTATTAGGGTTTATCATTGTGTTTACCACTCAGGTAAGATTAATCCTTCGTGTGGATGAGGAACTTTTTATTAAACTTCCTGTAAATCTAGTTTCCCCATTAAGGCTCACATTATGGGAAATTATTGAGGTGTAGTCTTATGTTAAAGACAATTATGTTAAGCTTTGGAACTTGGAAGGTACTTATTTTGCCCTATTATAAACCTAGCCAGAAGGTATAATTTTTTTTGGCAAGTAGAAATAATACCTTGGGATAACACTTAGGTAATTAAAATGACTTGTGAGGAAAGGAACAACTATCAAAATCAAAGTCAAGATTCATTTCTAAACTTGTTTTGATAATTATTGGTGGTTATTAATAAATAGACTTGAGAACTTTGTTTGGAAATAATGTTAAACTCACAGAAAAGTCACAAGAGAGTAAGAGTGTAGGCCTTGAGGCTGGAGAAGAGCTGAGAGGAGCTCGGCTCCTGGTTCCCCTTGCCACATGGTGTCAGCAGTATTGACTCAACTCAGGTGAGGCTTTTTTGAGAATTATTATTGAAAGGTTTGAAATAGAAATTCATTTTATCAAGGCAAGTACATTAAAAGCTATACTACTCTTAAGAGGGAACAAAAAGAAAGTTGACTTAAGTAACCTATTCATTTTGTCTTTTAACTTTCGAGTTGACATGTACTATACCTATGGAAAAGTGCATAGGTCGTAAGTGTAGAGCTCAGTGGATTTTCACAGACTGCATGCAGGCAACCAGTACCCAGATCTTTTTTTTATTATTTCTCATATTTGACTAGGGGTGAAGGTGTAGAGAGTAATCGTCATTAATGAAATTTGGATATAGGCAAAGGTGGATTTGACAACTTTAAAATGTTTATTGTTTTTAATAGCCGATACTGTCATGTGGCTCAAAATTCAGAAGTGCAAAGGGCTTATAGGAATATGTCTTCCTTCCTCTGCCTCCAGCCCCTGGGCTTCCACTGTGTATCAGCCACCACGGTGCCTCCTTATGGAGGTTTCCTGTGTGTTTTATCGTATCATATACAAACAATTAAGTTTCTTCTCTCCCCATTTACATGAATGGTAGCGTAATACTACTATCTATGTCTTGGAAGATTTCCTATTTGGTAAATAAAAGAACTTTGTTTTTTTGATGGACATTCAGGCTATTTCCAGTTCTTTCAGCACTGTTTCTAGGGGGTCATTTAACCCAAGGCTCCCCAACCTTTTTCATGTCATGACATTGACTCCGTTCACTCGCGCTGAGGAGCCTGTCTCCAGGGGCTGCTATTACCCCAATCCCTAGGTGCTGTTATCCCAATCCCTAACTGCTGTCCCCTCCACCACCCCTCCAGCCCCATACTACTCTAGGCCTGGAAGGATTATTATCTGGGCACATGTGGAACTTCTTTGTGTTACACCCGCACACCAAAATATACCAGTTATGAAGCTCTGAGTTAGCCAGTAAGTACTTGTTAAGGGCTCATTAATGAGCCCAGAACTGCCCTCTGAATTGGTAGGGAAATTGCAAAAGATTGAAACATGAATGACCGCCTTTTTCTCCCTGAAGGACTTTAGAGTAGTTGAGGAGACAAAGACCATATGTTCATGAAACAGTTGAAGAGAAATTAAAAATATGAAACCCTATGATACTGATTTTAAATATAAAACAGTGCAGGGAAGGCTGAAATGGGTAATGTTCTTTTTATGGGAAGGCATATCATCAAGGGAAATTGGAGTTTGCAGCAAAATGTGTAAAAAGATAAAATCTTCCTGGTTAGTCTGACTGTCTTATAAAGGAATGTTGAACATCCATGTACCAGAAGCCTGGGGTATTTTTCCCTTTAATAATAGAAGAAATACTGTTTCTTTAAAAAAAAAAAAAAAGACACATTGCAATTGTACATATTGGTGGAATATGGTTTAATGTATTCATGTATATGTTGCATAATGATCAAATCAGGAAGATTAACATGTCCATCACCTCATGAGAGGTTTTTGAATGTTCTCTCCACAAAGAAATAATTTTTCTTGACTTTGGGTTGTCATGGAGATGACTTGTGTTACAGTAGTTGCTTCCTCACTCATTTAGGCTGCCCGTTAAACTCGCAGGCCTGAGAACCAGGCAGACCCTCAGTGGCTAGAATAGATGTCCCAAAGAGTGAGCACTAATGCTGCATGTTCTATCCATTATCAAAAGTGGGGTGTTGGGGCAGGCGTGGTGGCTCACGTCTGTAGTCCCAGCACTTTGGGAGGCCAGGGTGGATGGATCACTTGAGGTCAGGAGT